GCTAACAACGCTTTATTATTAAGGTGATATTAGGCAAATAAACTTCGGAAAGTGTGCCCTAACTAAATCATCATGAAGATTGTAACTATATTACAATATGCATTATATTCACTCCTTGCAAAATATCGACAACGACTTCTGAAAATATTAAATAAATCTCGCCTAAAATTACAGTGTAACACGTTGCTTACTTACTTGCAAAGAGCAAAATTTGAAACATACTCGTAATTTTACAAATTGTTTCAAAGAGTTGTAAGAAGTAAAATAAATCACAAAAGTGTAACTAAAATTCATGCTTCAAAATTTAGTAACATTGTTTAGCGAAAATTAAATATTTGTTGTATTTTTAATCACAGATAGGGACTTTTTAACAGGTTTAAAACTTTACACTATTTTGAAGTAGGCGTCATCAGTTTGGTGAAACGGAATTAATAGACAAATTTTGATTGGCATTTTATCGTTCAACTACAAGCACCAAAAATTTTAAAGTAATGGGTTCGTAGTTTCGAGTATGTTATATATCTCATAAAAACGGACAGATAGAAATTGATATTGGATCGTAAACTAAAATATTATTAGTTCAAGTCACAACCAAAAATTGTTGGAGGCCACTGCAGTATTGATGTTCATATTATAGTCGGTAAATAGTTACAATTTTGAGTTGCTGTTTTGTACTTGCCGGATCGTTGAAATTGGGTAATTTTTCGGAATTAAATCGAATTGATTTGGAATTCTTTTCGAACTAGAATTATATTGTGCACAATTTATGAAAGTGGTTAGCCCCTCGGGTATATGTGTCAAGATGCGTCGTTAAATCTTCGTCGGCGCGACCGGAAGCGTGTGAGGCGTAGGTGTGGTGTGGATGGAAGCAGTAAGAACGGGAGTCGCTTCCCTATTGATCGTCTATTTTGCTCTGCGGGGGTTGTATATCACCCTGAACTTGACACCATATCGTAGCGCGGACCAAGCAAGCATCTCTTTCAATTCCGATTGTTCATTTCCCGTCGCCGCCGCCAGATGGCAACGCGACTGGGAATTTTTCGAAATGAAGAAGGGAAACGATCGGACGATGGCCGAAAAAGAGATGTCGATTGATCGACCGGCGATAATGCAACGCCAACTACAACGCTCCGAATGGCAAAAGACGTAGCGTCAAACTGCCGTAGAACGGCCCAGACATAGGGCGGTGCTGCGCGAAGTTGAATGAAACATCACGTCGGCGAGTACTACGACGAGCGTTCAACGATCTCGGCACGGCGATGTTGCCAAATATGTGTCACATGGAGTCGCCACGCAGGAAGGTTTATGATGCCAGAAGGCGCCATGAATTAAGAAAAAATTTAGAGCATGGAAACGTTTAATGGGGGCGACTTTATGGAAATCGATCCGTTAATTAGTGGCGAAATATTGCGGAAAAAGTTCGTGGACACTTGGAAGTATCAACAAGTTTTTAGCGTGCTCGCTGGTTAGTCAGGGGCGTGTGCTTCGTGGGATCAAAAGTACTTTTTTTCGGTTTAAATATTTTTTGAATTTTAAAATCGACCGTGTGAATCGTGCTAATTTCACATACAGGGTTGCTCAACAGAATGAATACAGCTAAATATTTCCAAACGGTTTATCAAACTCATTGGAATTTGCTACACAAGTTAAAGTATTTGAACTCTATCCTCTGAAATATTATTCAAATTATCATCAATATTTGTTTTGGAGATATTATTATAAAAATATTAAAATAAATGAATTTTCGAAATTCTAGTATTTTAGTACTTTTTTATTATTATTTTTAGTGCAAATAATGAAAGGCATGTGTTAGTTACATCACTGAATGCAGAAATAAAATTCTTTTTTCAAAAATATTAACGTTGGCCTTGTCTCTACAAAACAAATGTTGATAAATTTCGATAACATTTTAGATGATAGAGTTTAAATACTTTTACCTGTATACCAAATTTCAATAAGTTTTGATAAACCGTTCTGGGAATATTTGTCTGTATCCATATTTTTTAGCAACCTTGTACATGTACGAATTTCCACTCGTCGTTGTCTCGTCGGTCCTTACAGCTTTTATGTATAATCTTTTTATATGAAGCTTTAAATAAATTAGAATGTCTATAGATATTCGTTGCAAATTGAACATGTTACCTTCGCTTTTATAATATATGGGCAGGAATTGAATTGTTTTTCAAAACTTGTGAAATACTATGTATAGTGAAATTGGGGTTGCAGATTTGGAGCTTCTTAAAATGAGGTGTACGAGCAATTGGCAATCATTAAATAAAAAAAAGTTTGTCCTGGCGGGCCTTAATAAAAACAATAATTTGAGTAATTATTGTAAAATATCGCGTTTTAACAAACAGCAACAACTTCATTGTTTTTATCATTGTTGTTCATATAAACACCTATTCAGATCTTGTATTAATCTTGTTCCAAAAACAAGTCATTACAATCAAAAGATCAACACTTCATTTGTCGTTAAAAACACATCTAATACCTCAAATGTCCGTATGTTCCCCACGAATTGTTATTTCTGAATTTAGAACATAAACTGTTTCAAAATGTTAATTATCTTAATCGAGGGATATTGATTCCTCACAGAATAATACACTAATAGAAAAAAATCCGAAATATAACATCAAAATTTCTGTGAAAGTTCTCACTTTAAACAAATTTAAGTATACAGATTTTGATAAGACTTTAGCGTAAGCCGACAAATATTAGTGCCTTATGTTCTGTGACTCGCCTGGAGTTCTACTAAACTGAGCTATATATATGTCATTATATTATTGTACTCATAGTATTAAATTATATGTAATTAATTTATTGAAAACAGCTTTAAAATTTGAAAATCTCGGTTTTATGTTAACGTCAAATTTACATTTTCAAACTCACGTCACTATCAAATCTACACTTTGTCGACTCTTGGTTGTTTTTTAGAATTATTATGTAGATAAGTCACATGTATAATTCTTTTTTTAATTTTTAAAATTTGGGACTCAAAAATTGTTCGGCCCATATGCAAACGACACAAAAACTAGATTATTATATTTTCATTACTGAAAAAAAAAGTTAAATATTCTTAAGAATTAATCTTTGAACGGTTTTTAATGTAATGAAAATCTAGCATTTGATTATTTTCATATAAAAAGGACCAACTAGATAAGGAAAAAATGATCACCGCATCCAAATTTTAAATTAGCAAGCTTTGATAAGATCCTTTTATTGATAATATGATATAAAGTAGATACGAGTGGTTATAATTTCAAAGTTTGGTGTCAAGTTTTGCCGCCTTGTCAAAATAAAGATTATACAAACTGATTTTTAAATATGCACAGCTGTGATACTGATAATCGAGACAACAGAAATAAAGTTTGTAAATGACTCTGGATTCATGAATAAAATGGTATGCAGCGGCAAAGTAAAAATGTTAACGCAGACCAAAAGTTTATAGAATTGAGAGATTTTGTATTTCTGCTCTAGCTGGCCACGACACTTTCGTCAGCCATTTTGAAATGACTTACGTACGCGTCATGGCCAACTAGAGCACAAATTTAAAAAAATCACACGGAACGTTACAGTAATAAAGTTTAAACTTAAAAACACGTGTAGTAAGGCGTATAGATGAGATATAAATGTTTTTACATATTTTTCTTATGGTAGATACAAACTCCCAAGAAAGTGTTAATGTTGCCAGTCATGTTTCACCTTTTAGTAACATTCTTGATCGTGCCCCAGTACCCTTCCAACGATTTAATTTATACAGTTTGAACGTGATTTTATGTCGAATGATCTGCAAGGAACATTAAAACAAAAAGCGTCAATTTGGTTGTAGCATTAATTGTTATAGGTATTTCGACATTTTTAAAAGAGTGCGGCGAAATAAAGTCAATAACGTTCATGATGATCCGCATAACAAAAATTCCTTGCTATGTGACTTTCAATCATCCAAATGCTACTTCATTGTTTACCTCGCGCCCTTTCATATCTAAGACAATTTTTTACAAAATAAATTTTGACATAATCATAATAATTTCATTTTCCTCAGAAGCGCGCCATTTTGTCGACTCAAAATTAGCTTCAACGACGACTAAAAGCAGTTATTAATTTTTTGTACAAGAAAAAGGACATATTTAAAATTAGGTTGTTTATCATAGATGTTTGTTGTTGTAGCTTGAGGGGTAATTTTTTTATTACCTGTTCCTTTTTTCCGAAACTTTTAATTGCGCGGGTTTTAAAATAAATTAATTTTACGAACAGAAATTGTCAAATAATTACAGAGACGCCATCGTGTTATTAAATATATATATATATATATATATATTTGCAATTCTATGAACATAACTAATTTTTCAAATTATCCGTTAAATTGATGCGTTTACTTCAATAAATAACTTAAAGATGCAAAATCAGTGTCAGCACTCATTAGTATTTCGTACGTACGCCCCAATAAGTAAAGAACAGGTTAATTTTGGTGATATTTTTTTCAAAAGAATTCGTGAATTCGATTTTGATTGAAATCCCACAGACGGTGGCAAGTCGCAAAATCTGACAACGCCGCGCGTCGACGGCGTACCCGCCGCGACCGCAGCGCCACCATGCGCCACAAACGGGCAATCAAACGAGTTCGTCGGCATGGCACTGAGAACGCTTGGTTTTTGCTCTTGTTGTTTCGACGCGAAAAATGTGGAAAAAAAGTGGCGATTTTCGTCAAACGATCCGCGAAAAGTATCTTTTGGGCACGAGGTAAGTGTTATTACCAAAATTATCGACCGAAATGCATTTTTCGCGGCGAATTTCGATACGCGTTTCCGGTTAACCTGCAAGAAATATTTAGGCGCAAATCAAAATGGTGGTAACCGCGTGCTTCACTTTTGCCGCTTTTTTTTTCTTCGCATAAAAGCAAATCGACGCACTTTTCTAACCTCAAATTACAACGTAAACGAAATAATTCGCGATTTTCAATTTTTATTCGCACGCATAACACTTGATTTGGAATTTTTCAGAGGCCATGGTCAGGGCAGACCTATTGGAGCAAATCCCACACATAGCATCGCAAGCTGTGAAGTATTCCAACCGCGTGGAGTTGCTCAAGTCAATTACGAGTGAATATCTGTTGCCTCTGGTGGTGCGAAATTTGGGTTGTTCGGAGAATGCTGTGGACAAGGCTGCCCACACCACGCTTATACACTTGCTGGAACAGGGGCTCATCACCAAGCCCCAAGCGGAAATACAAGTCTGTCCAGCCATTCTTGCCCTTTCGAATGAAGAGCAAAGTGCCGATATAAACACGGGGGCCATCACAGTAAGTATTCTCACTGCTTGTTTCGTTTACTAATGTTTTTCGTAAATGTAACTTTGAAGCATCACAGTAACTTCTTGAAAGACATGGGTAGTGAGATGTTTTGTTAATTTTGTCTCACTACCTTGTCTTTCATGGAGAGACTGTTCACACCCAACAGTACATCGGCAGTTGATCTTGCCTCTTCTTATCAGAGTTGGCGGTTTTAGATCATACTATTCTATCACAGCCAGCTTTGATGAGCAGAGTTGAGAGTCCTCATCAGCAATCAATCCAGAAGTCCTCCAACTAGAAGATGCCCGAGTCGTCAATTTGGCTGTGAACTCTTAAATTTAATAGATATCACAGCCACTTTGATGAGCTTGGTTGTCTTTGCATCATCAAGAAGAGAGGTTATGGTCGGTGCCCTATCAGTCAATTTGGTTGTGAAGCCTTGTGTTTGTTCGGGTATCACAGCCATTTTGACGAGTTTGGTTGACGACCTTTTCATCGGTCTGCGGAGTTCTGCTAGAAATGGTTTTTCAATTTTTATGTGTTGTGTCGCTCATCAACTGGATGTGAAATGGATTTGTAGCTCATATCACAGCCAGCTTTGATGAGCGCTACAACATCTAATATACACCGTTTTGTGCCACCTTTAGTATGTTTCAGGTGTTTTGTGAACTGAGTTTTTAGTTTTTTTAGTGTAGGCTTTCGCTCATCAACTGGAAGTGAAATGTATTTAGCATCATATCACAGCCAGCTTTGATGAGCGCAAGAGTGCACATTTAACGCCGGTCGTCATGTAAGTAATACTATACTTTTATTTTTCTTAAATGGTACAAGGAGAGTTGAATGTTTTTATTCTTTTTTGCAGCTAATGAGTAAAATGGCCCCCCTTCTGGGACGTGATGTTACGGAAAGAGTGTTCTTGAAACGATTTTCACAATTATGCGCCAGTAACATGTTCTATACCAGAAAAGTGTGTGCGTCGCACATTGGCGATTTTTGTGCTGTTGTTGGCAAAGAACAGTTTGAGAAAGTTTTGGTGAGTACACTTTAATTTCTAGCTAACCATAGGAAGGTTTATTTATGATATAATTAAATTTCCCTGATCAATAAACCCGAAATTTTGCAAGTCATAGGCCTTCTGTTGTGATCTAATTTTGGAAGTACATCAAAGATAGGCATTGTTCTAAACTTTGAAAGTATACAAAATGACTGGGACTGAAAACAAAATTTATTGTTTTAATCAAACATGCGTGTAATCTTCATTGATTACTATTCAGTTCTTTTAAGTATTTTTACTGAACGTATTTTGATTAAGGGAGACCTGTTGCATTTAATTGTCATCTTTAATGAATGCATTAATTACAATGATAACGATTTAAAGCGCGTGTTAACTTGAATTAAATGTAACAGTTTTTAATCGGAATTTGAAAAATAAAAGTTAATTAACGGTCAATTTTTTCTTTTCTATAAAGCGCCCATTTTAAAATGATGAATTTAGACGACGGTCTTCTGAATAAATGTGAAGATAACTTTACGTCTACTGAACTTTTAACAGTAATTAAATTTGCTGCAAGTTCAATTATCAAGCAGAAAAAATTTATTTGTGCTTACGTTATTTATAGTTACCATGTTACATTTCCCTGTGCCAAGATGAAATATGGGGTGTTCGAAAACCATGTGCCGAAGTAATAATGTTCGTTTCTTCAGTATGTTCACAAGAGATACGACGAACAGTACTAGCACCAACTTTCGCAAAACTTCTACAAGATGACTGTAGATGGGTTCAAATGTCAGCGTTTCAGACTCTTGGACCGTTCATTTCCACATTCGCTGATCCTCCTATTACAAACACGGCATATAATAATCAAGGGGAATTAGTTTTCGTAAATAAAGACGGCAGCGAATTTTTGTAAGTTGATTAATAAAGATTGCGAGAATTTGCCACGAAAATCAATTTTAATTAAAATTGTACGGTGTTTTGATGTACATGAACAGGTGCAGAAGATTTTCGCGGTAAATTTTTTCCACGATTGGATGAGCTAATTGTGGACGGAAAGGTAATTATTTTTAATTTCAGAATTAATTCACCCTCTGTCCCAGATGTTAAATTTAAGTATCTACCTCGACAACCATCGCCGTTAAATTCGGGTGTGGTTAAGACATGTAACGATGTGGGATTGGGTGATTGGTGGCAATTAGACGACGAAGATCCAAAATCAAAATTAGAAACGGAGGTTCTGGAAGGGTTGAGTGTGAATGCAGAAATAGATGAGCAGACGTGTGACGAAAACTTTAGTTTAAACGCCACAATAGTTGGTCAAACTGATGAAGATATAAAAGAGATTGTAGAAACGGTTAAAAATGCAGTGCTCAGCTATAGGAGCGTAGAACAAGAGCATGGTGTGATAGGAGATAACTTAAAAACTAACTTAAGCAATGCAAATGTGATAAGTAATATTAAAAACGCAACTTGTGATAATTTAGGTAGCGGTAGTACTGAATTAGATGCAGAATTTAAAAAGTTGAGTTTGAGAAGTGCAGACGAACCCAGTACGTCGAAATTTGATCCCATTGCAGTTGTACTAGATTCGGTTACACATTCTGAAAGCAATGGGGAGATCACCGACAACCCAGTTAAAGAAAACACCGAAAATAATCAGGTAATTTTGAATAGTGAGCGTGAGAACGAAGATGATAACTTACATTTGTACAATTCATATAATTATTGGTATATAAGTCCTGATATGGCATTAGATCTCAGTATTCTTGAGGAAGGACAGGTAGTTCGAGGTAAAATGGATTGTAATATGGGGGTGAGTAATTTGCACAGCTTTACTAATACATCTGTGTCATCATAAATTGCTTGGCTTTCATTTTTTTGTTTTGTGCTCATTAATATTTCGTGCCTCATAAACTATATGAGACCTACAAATATGTAAGTATTTGTGTGTTTTGTTTTTGTCCTACAGTTCACAATGGCGGTAGAATTTATGATGATACGATTCTTTGCTCTTAGACAATGATGATGAACTTGACGACGGTCTTCTGATGCATATCTGAAGTTACAAAACGTCATTCTGATTTATTTCATAAGATTTACACCTTTAACATTTCATGCAACGCTTTGTTTCTAATTTTTTAATTTTAATTTTAGGCAACATTAGAGGATTCGCTTAAAGATGTAACTTTAAATGATAGCTTATGTGAAAATAGCAAAAATGAGACACCAGGTATTGCCGGTAAGTATTCGCGTGGTGTTTCCCTAAAATCTCTACAGAATGAACTGTGACCTGTAAATCACTAATGATACTGATTTTACTAAAAAAATATAGTCTTTATTAAATTAAAGTTGCACTTCCCTATCAAGATTTTTAAACATTCCGGTTTTATATTGTCTAAACTAAGAAAATAATAAATTGGTTTTGAGTTGCCAATACGAATTTATTAAATGCAGTGTTACGTGTTAAAAATTATAAACTAAATAACTTTTTGTTTCAACATGGTAATGTTGAAACAAAAACACCTACTATATCACATTCATCTTTAGAAATGATGACTTTACGCACAGACACTAGCTTCAACGTGTTATTTCTTAGTAACACCGGATTTATCACAACATAGTTCAGTCACTCCAATTTTCAAATGATTATAACATACAAAATGAACAAACCATGAAGATACTTTTGTATTAAGGCAGACTATGATATCTCTTTTTTATTCAAAATTATACTTTGCAACCGTCTGGAAGTGTACAACTAATATTATTTACAGAATCCCACCCTCCAGAGCTTACGGAACTCGTGCCAACTGAGCCGGAGCAAGACATCGTACCTCAAGTGCTGATAAATCATTTCATTTTGATGACCGATTCGTCATTTTCCATTAACATAGACAACGAAATGTCTTACCATTGCGCCTATTCACTGCCTGCAGTGGCGTTAACTTTGGAAAATAAAAATTGGCCTTTATTGAAACACACCATTGAACGTTTAGCCAGCGATATGCAGTACAAAGTTAGAAGAACAGTAGCGAGTAGTTTGCATGAATTGGCATCTATTTTAGGCCAAGATATAGCCACTGAACATTTGACACCAATTTTTGAAGGCTTCATCAAAGACCTCGATGAAGTTCGTATTGGAATTTTGAAACATTTGGCGTACTTTTTAAAGATAATTACGCCCACTAAACGACTAGCGTATTTACCTAGATTACAGGAGTTTTTAAAAACGGAAAACGAGTGGAACTGGCGCTTCAGACACGAATTAGCGAAGCAGTTGTTGTCTATTGTAACTCTTTTTAAACCAGTAGATTCGGCTAAACATATTGGACTCATCGCCGAAAATTTGCTACATGACGTGTCTGCAGTACGTCAAGTAGCTATTTCTTTGGTAATTACTAACTTCTTACGTTTGTGAATTTGTTTTAAATTTTTGTTGTTTTAGATAACGGAGCTGTTGCGACATATATCATCGAAACCGGGTCTAAATTCTTTATACCTAGTCAGATTAGTTGAAAAATTTGCTCATTCAAAAAAATGGAAGAGACGGCAAACTTTTGCTTTGTTGTGTAATAGATTGTTAGCATCTAAGGCTTTGCCGCCGGAACAGTTCGCAACTGAAATTATGCCTCATTTATTAGATTTGAGTTGGGATCCCGTCGCCAATGTTAGATTGGTGGTCGCCAAAACAATAGCACAACATATTATTCCTAATGGTGAGTTCTTTCTTAAATGGATGTTGTTAGGTACTAAGATTGTATTTCTTTCAGAATACTTTGCTGATCCTAGCAACCAACATTTTGATAGTTTGGGAACTGTTATCCGAAGGCTACAAGCAGATAAGGATCGTGATGTTCGCCAGTATGCAGAAGTTAGTGATACATTTAATAAGCCTGCAACACCTCCACCTAATTTGGATTATAATATTGAATAAATTGTAATTAAAATTAATTTTTTATCGGGTACAGTATAATATAAGTTTTTTTGTTGCAGTTTTAATTTTACTTTTTTTGTGTTTATTATATATATTATATATTTGTAATTTTTATCTGTAAGTTGTAATATATGTAAAAAGTGGAAAAAAATAAATAGAATTTGCCTGAACGTTTTTAGTTCTACCTTGGTGGTTCACAGTAATTGGTTATATTATACCAAGTGCAGCACTAGTTTATATGATAAAAACAGGCTCAATGGAAATAGAGAACTAAGTTTTCCAAGTGTTTAGTGTTTTGAAAGTTAGGGCTGTACGCAAAATTATCTCATCAAGCAATTTGTTTTGAGGAGTAACTAAAAAGTGAATAATTTCAAGTTCCCTTTGGTTTTCAATATACATAACTTGCCCCTCAACAGTTTTATTCAATGATAATTTTTAAACCACTAAATTTTGGTTTGATTTAGGGTGTGGTATTACTTACGTTCCAACAAAATGCTTATACTTTTTAAGTTACTTCTGAAAAATATATTTCCTAAAGTTACTAAAAAACCCACTGGCTTTGGTTATTTTTCAGAAGTAGGGGAAAATCTGTGTAAACAACCTTGTAGATTCTTTTCCTTTGAATATTTACGGCTCACAAGTTGAATTCAGTTTGCCTTGACAACGCAGGCTGAACTTTTATCGATTTTCGTGAATTGCCCGCCGTTTTTTACACGAAAAAACAACAAAATAAAATGTGCCACAGTAAAAAAAATGTCATGTCCAGCGTTAATGTAAAACCCGTGGTGCGCACTATACATCATTCTCAAATAACATTATTTTTCAATTTGATTTAGCGACTCGGCTATCGATGTCGCAAAACTTCTAATACAGTTCTAATTAGATTTTGCGACGTCGCTAAATCAACGTAAAACTGACGCCTTAATGAGGTGGCACGATCAACAACCGTGGTAAGAGAGGTGACAATCACGTCGCATTGTTTAGCGGTCAAAACACCCGCCCAAAAAATTTGAAAGAGTTCGAATCACATTCAGATCGTCGCATTTTTCCTTCCTACACAAAATCACCCTCCAGTATCACCACCAGTGCGAAAAGGAAAAGTGACCTTAGTCGATAGATACAAATATCACAAATTTCCACAAAAGTGAAAATAAAGTATAAGTCGCATGAGGAGCATAGACAGCGGCAGTTGGGAATTTTCTCGTGAAGGTCTATTTGCACTAATCACTAGTATAACACCCGACTCGCGATTAACGTTCGCATTACTAAGGCTATTCCCATCTTCGTAAAGGAGACGACCAGCTAGGCGGCCTGATTCACTGCGGCAGAATCCGATATTGTAAATAAACATTCACATGAACAATGTTAGGATTTTGGGTGGGCAGTCCCGTCAGTCCTCCCTTCCCGCCGCGCATGCTTGTGCATTTATTCCACATAAAAGTTAGAATCCTATCTTCTTAAATTTTGACCACGAAATGAATACTAAAATTACAAGGACCGAAGCAAGTAATGTTTAATTACGCCACACTCTACCAGGAAGTTTAAACAATAAATAATTTACATAATTTTAGTTATAGTGATCAAAAATCAAAATAATGTAGTCTCGGAACACCCCGCTCTAGACCGGCGTAATTGGAGAATAAATGTTCAATTAGGCTGAAAAAAAAAGATCAATTAATAAACATAAAATACCCCTCCTATTTCGAGTCCACGCCGATAATATTAATTTGATAGATGATAATTTTCAAAGTTATTTCTTTCAAAATGGATTAATGTTTAAGATCAGTTTAAATACCAAAGCGTTGACGCTGCCAAAACATCAAGTGGTGTAACAACGATTGCAACTAAAATTATTGATGATGAATATGAGACTGAAGAAACAGGTTAAGTCCCTCCATGATACTTTTAAACGGTTAAAAAAAAAGGACATATTGTGAGAAGTTGCTGCTGATCTCATATTGGTAAGTCCATAGCTTTTTCTTATTTTTTTCGTATAATTTTATTCTAACGGGAGCATATAATTTTGCAGTCGTAAATATTGGCAAATTGCGCCAATACTTTAGCGAAATTTTGCTATCATCAAAATTCAGAAGATTTTTAACCGAAATAAACGCACAGCCATTGTCACGTGAATGTTTATCAATAGAGAATTTTCAACCCTAGCAAATCAGGCCGTTTACTCGGCTGTGTCCTTTATAGGGATGGAAGAAGGCGAATGCGAATGGTTAAAAGTTTATAATGCGTGCTGTGGCTGTGGTTAGGGTCAATTGAACTTCACGAGGAGACGCCCTTCGCGCCGCCATCGCTATGCGCTCTCATGCTGAGTAGTTTCTTTTCGCTCATCTTAGCCTTTTCGTGCTCGGCACACAATCGTAATAACTTGTGTACTAAGTCCAGTTAATTTAATTAAGATTTATGCGTATGTATCGATTTGTGACGTTTCATTTCATTTTTGAAAGCTCGAAAGGGTGTTCGCAGGCGGTTTAACAGATTTTTCCTCTCAAGAATTTACTTCCTAGATTTTGCATTTTGATTTAGTCACTTTTCCAACCTTAGGATTCACCACTTTGCATTTGTTTGAAATTGTTGATGTAGTGTGGTGTGTTAATAAATTTAACTACTTAAGTAATTTTAGTACTCATTCAGTCATGGTTATAAATTCGGGGAAGGTAGAATTTGAACTTAATTGAAATAAAAAGACACAAGTTAGTTCGCATGGCGAAAGCGAAACACACGGTTTGTAGTTGAGTTTACTGTTTTATGAAAAGAGCCGCGTCGGCATGAAACGCGAAGTTTGGCCCAATAGCTGCTTGTTGTACAAAAGCGGAGTACAATATGCGGCAGGTTTTTTGAACATAGAAATGTGGAGTGTGTGTTATATTGGTATATAGAGTAGAATCACCAAAGAAAAATCACCGACTACGACGAGGACTTAAATTCAGCTCTCGTTACAACGTCCGCTGTAACCCGCTTGTTGAGTTCATTTACTGTAATTCAGTTTTCTGTTTTTCTTAGTGGTTATATATGTGACATTCAAATATTTGCATTGATTTGGAACATTTGATTTGATTTCATTTTGAAAACTAGGCAGTTTTTTTGTACCTGAGAACTCAGGCGTCTTCAATCTTCCCAAAATGCACTTAGTCATAGCTTTTTCTTCTGTTTTCTTGTCAGAATGGAGGAATAAACGTTTTTTGTCCTTTATATCTTGTGTTTGATCTAGGGGCGTTTTCTAACCTTGGGGTTCACCACTTTGCATCTGAACGCGTTCCGTTATAAAAAAAAAAACACAACATAGGGTTCCACCACGACTGTGATTCTAGTTTTGCTGACTATCACAGTTCAATGTCAAATTTTGAATTTTTCGCGGTTTATAGCTATTTATGGTAATTGTTTAGAAGCAAGGCAAATAAGTCACGAAAAAAATGTTTAGCCACGAGAGCTTGCTCGAGTGGCCTAATTTTTCTTAAGCGACTTATTTGCTGTTAAGACACGAATGTAATACTTGGTTTTATCCAACACCTCCTGCAGTAACAGTACTTAAAGCATCATGAAAATCCCAAAAATTCAATATCGTTAAAAGCTGGTAACCTATGAATTGGTTTCCGTGTGGTTGCCACCACAAATTGTTTGTTCACGTCAAATTGAGAAAATTTTTTAAAAAGAAAACGGCTTCTGCCATGCTTCTGCACTCGTCATATTGATCCAAATGGAAAGAAAACGTGCTCTTCCGGAAAGTATTGCGAACGATGTTGAAGAAGCCACATCGAGTTTGTTACCGAAGAAATCCAAGGACGCTTATTACAAGGAATTAAATTACTTCAATAACTGGAAGCAAGAAAATAATGTTTCTGGTGTAAGCGAAGACGTGCTGGGTCACTTCTTTAACGTCAGCAAAAGTTGCGGCCTCTTCAATGTGGACAAAATATTCCATATTAAGAGCGACATTAAAGCTTCACGAAAATGCTGATATTTCGCAATATGGCAGATTGATCGCTTTTTTGAAGAACGGATCTAAAAATCACAAGCCAAAGAAAGCAAAAGTTCTTGAAAGAGAGCATATTCAACAGTTTCTAGTAGAGGCACCTAATACAAAGTTTTCGATGATGAAGGTAAGGCGATTTTGTTATTTGAGAATGTAATTTAATTTTTTACATTACAGGTGGCACTACTTTTTGGTGTTTGAGGTGGCTGTCGATGTAATGAATTAGTGACAATGTCAATCGATAACGTAAAAGATAATGGATCCTATATGTTGGTATCTGTACCAGATACAAAAACAAATGTTTCACGCAGCTCTACCATCATGAAAGAAGGATTTTCCGTTAATGTGCTGGATATTTGTAGAAAATATATGTCTTTGCGACCTAAGAATGTTTCTCACAACAGGTTGTTTTTGTGCTACAGAAGTAAGAAATGCACAGTACAGCCAGTCGGAATAAATAGTTTATCGAAAACACCATCAGTAGTAGCAGATTTTTTGAAATTACCAGAAGCAGAGTTGTACACAGGACACAGCTACTTTACTATCTAATGCTGGAGCTGATCTTGGTATGCTCAAACGTCATGGCCGATGGAAATCGACAAGCGTGGCACAAGGCTATGTTGAAGAATCAATTTCCAGCAAAATGATTATTGCTAAAAAGATCCTGGGTGAAAATTTGGGAGCGGAAAGCAGTGTTGAAATTGAGAAGACAAAACCAAATGAACTTGGGAACAACAAGCTTTCAATATAAATATTAATCTGAAGCTGGAGAAATGATTCATACAATTCTAATTTTATGTATTAAACTTCTTTGTGTTCAATAAATTGTTCAGTTTTCTCTAAAGTGTTTAATTATGAAAAAACAGTTTAATTATGAATTCATAATTCCACTAGTGACTTATGGGCCTTCTAATGTGTGCAAAATCGGCAATTTTATGACCTTATAATCAAGAGGTGTTGAATAAAAACATTTTATTCAATTTTGGCGGGATGTTTGGGTTATCAAAATATATTCCTAATACTGAACACCACAAGTGTTTTCTGTACACAGAATAAATTAAAATCAACAATTATTCTTAGGTATTTTTCTTCACTTTTAAATTAGATATTTTTGAGTGAGTGGGACGGTTGTCAGGTTCATTCAACTGCTTTCTATATTGTACCTAACTTTTTGGGGATTTTCAT